CGCCCAGACCCCCGGCAACAGGCTTAGTTGGGTGACAGACATTGCAGCCGAGTTCCCTTGTGAGCAAGGCTTCCCACCTGACTGTGAGGTCACGCGGCGCAGCGCTCAGAACCCACGGAGCACTCGGCAGAGGTGTTTGGCCGAGTGCTGAGCAGGAACGTGCACGACGCGCGACTGCTGGCTTCCCGCCGCTTCCTCTTTCCCATGGCGAGGCCAGCGCTCTACCGACGACAAGTGCTGGCCGGAGGGCTGGTCTCGGTGCCATGGCGTGGCGCACGAAGCCCGAGGTGGAGCGGTACGTTGCCTTTGTGCGGTCCGCCGCCTCTTCTCCTAGAGAGGTGAGTGCCGTGGGCCCGGCTGGGACCGCCAGTGGAGCTCCTGCAGCCTCCCCCGGGTCACAATGGGGGCTGCTCCCTGCCCGTCCTGCCCCCTCGCTCCTCCCGCGGGTGCCGGGCCTGAGGGGTGGCCGTGGCCTGGCCCGGTGCGTGGGAGGCCGGATGGCAGGGGGAGTGGAAGCTGAGGGAAGCGGCTGTGTGGGAGGGCACGGAGCTGACTTGCTGGGAAGATGGTTTGCCAGGGCTGTGCGCTCTTCAAACTGGTGAGCCCTCGGCAGATTTACAAGGAGCCCAGTGCTGTGAGTCCGTACGGATCCCTCCGGTTTTGTGGAACTGAAGAGCCCAAACAGGGGACAGGTGTTCCTAACTTCTGGTTTTCTTTCACGTGCTGCGTGGTTGATATTCCTGTCTGTGTGGCAGCGCTGTGGAAGGTCAGGAAAAAGAGAGGAAGAGCTGGGCCAGTAGAGTTTTGCTGCTGTCCCTGGCAGCCAGATGATTCCCTGCGATCTGGAAACGGTGCACAGGTCATAGAGAGCCAACCAATGCAGTTAGTGGGAGCTATTTAATCCCCAAAGGTGCTGCTCTGCTGCTGTGAGTGGGTTTTATTGCAGAGGCAGCAGATTCGGCAGTGTGTTGCAGAGCATGAATGCACGCGGGCTGCCGTTCTGCAGCAGGGTCTTAGTGCGAGGCAGCGTGCATCTTCATGTTGAGCTTTTCCAACAGCAACAAAGATCTGTGGTTTTGTTGAGCTGACTTGGGTGCTGTTTAGACTACACAGTGTGGAGCGTACCGCTGCCAAATTCAGAGATGCTCTTTAACCGTTCTGAGATTCCTGTTGGGCTCAACAAAAACCATCGCCTCTCTTCTTGTTGTGCTCGAGGCCAAGTTCTGCGGTTTGGTTTCATCCTTGCAGTGATGCTTACAACTCACTGTCTAGCACAGTCAGTGGTGGAAATAGTGACTGGTTTTCTTGTTGTGTTGATTTTGGAAGGGAGGGCCTTTCAAGGCTGCCAACGTGTCTGATGAAGTTTCTTTTTAACCCTGTTTACAAGGAGATGTCAAGCATGATCATGCATCAAGCATGATCATGCATCAAGCATGATACGCTCTGGCGTATGTCAGCGTGTCCTTGTTTTACTTCAGAATACAGACTGAAGCAAGGGAGACTTGCGTGAATAACTTCTCCCCCCTATTTGGGGGTGGGAAGAGGGTTGGAGATGAAATTCAGGCGTATCTAGACTACAGAGACTTGTTTCACGTTACTTAGTTTACGTCTGACGTGAAGTTTTTGCTTGTGACTTACTAGTTCTCTAGCTCCTTCATGCAGGCAGAATCTGCTTTTTGGATGCGGTAGTCTATTTCTGATGTTTTGAGCCCCTTCACAACACGCACTGCGTGAGTGAAAGGTGAAACGTAAGTCTCCAAAGGTATCTATGGAGGGGTAGAAGGAGGAAACAAAAGTGAAAGTACAAAAAGCAAAGCAGATGGCAAAGCCGGCAGGAGGGGAAGATGGCAGAAGCATGAGCAGGAGGAGCTGGGGTAACATCTTCACTCTTAGTTTGTAGGATTTGTTTTCTCCTGCAACACTGTTAGGTTGCAACAGCAGCAATAACAAAAAGCTCAACTGTAGCGGACCCATTCTCCTAATTTCTTTGGTCAGAAGTGTTTGTGAAATGTACCAAGTGTAAAGATCGGTCACTTGCTTTGCTAGTCGCCTCAGTTTTCCTTCGGTAGCCTCTGCCCGTGATTGGAAACAAGATTTCTTTCTTAATCCCGTCTCTTTCAGAAACAGAGACTTGAATACAAGAAGTAATGGTAATTAACTGTTAGCAGTGTTATGCGTTGCTAAGAAGAGTGCTCTCCCTGTTCAGTTACTTTAAAAGTAGTGTACATCTGAAATGTGCCTGTCATGTTTGTTTTCTTTTTCCATTCAGAAATCGTTGAAAGGATTCATCTGTGCTAAGCTGTATTTTGAAATAAAAGAATATGAGCTTGCTAAAAGGTAATACATGTTGACGTAGGTGGTTGATCTGTTCTCGAAAGTGTAATAGAAAAGCTAGTTGAAGTAGAGAAATCAAGATCACGATCATGCCATTTTTTAAGGTAGCAGTAAATGGAAGGATTGGGTGTCACTGAAATCCTTCTAAAAGAGCAACTGCATTAGTTATGTGGTACCAAAGAAATCATGGAGTTGAAGTGGCTTTTATTTCATCATATGATGCATCTCGTTCTGTGAGCTGCTGCTTTTTTAATGAACGTCAGTACTTGCTGGCAAATAAGTAGCACTGGTACGCGTAAAAGTAATGTTTCTCACATTAGGGTCTAGGTCAAGTATCTAGAAAGAAATGTAGCCCTGCTCTCCATTGGACAGATTAAATTCCCTTTAGCTTTAGCTATATGGTGTGGGGGGACTTGAATTATTGAGAGTATTGATCTTTCTGGGTTTTCTTGCTCTGTAGATATATATCTACTTATCTCAGTGTCCAAGAGAGAGATCCCAGAGCACACAGATTTCTTGGACAAATTTATGAAGCTCAGGACGAGACAGAAAAAGCTGTTGGGTGTTACAAGGTAAGTGCTCCAGTGACTCCCAGTAACGTCCAGCTTTCTTCCTTTGTAGATGGACTTTTAAAATGCATCTGTGCTGTGCATTCCTTAAGCTCAGAGAGAAAATGTGTTGTTTGTGGACAAATTAAATTGTATGATGTACATTTTTTATTGCCACATCTGTCTATGACGTACTTAAAAAAGGATTCTTTTTTTGGTAGAATTGGCATCAGTTTTTAATTTTTTTTTTTTTCCCAGTTGATTCTTTCTTTTGTGTCCTGACTTGATCCTTGTGGTAGCTGCTGTGATAGTCTTACTGTTGCCCTTTGGACTAAGGGTCTGTGCCTGCAGTGGAATTGCCTCGCAGGGATGATGGTAATCTAGTTGCAACTGGAAGACTCGACCGAGGGTGTTTTTCAGTGGCACTGTTTGTTTGTTGCTGGTGGTGGTTTTGTTTCAGAGGTAGAGAGGTGCAGGGCAAATAAAGTGCTGATTAGGCAAGTGCATACATGTGAACGTCTCGATCAAAATTCCTTTGTTCAGGCTTTGGGCAGGGGGAGGGTGTGCTGGAAAGTCCTGTTGCCAACAGAGTGAAGCGCTCTTGCCCTTGATGATGTACTTCTTCTTTTTTTCCATAAGTCTCCATATTGAGTTAGACGAGAAGTCATAGTCCAGCTGCCTACATACAGCAGTAAGCAGCTGTAGAGGAAGAGGATCTGGTTTTGGCATTCTTCCTCAGTCTCTTCTGAATTCCAGCAGTTATCTGAGTGCTATAATCTAGTGGTGGCCTTTTCACAGTGAATTCAGAAAGTATTTACTGAGAGTTGTAGTTGGAATATTTGAGTCCGTGGAATGGCCATCATTTTCTTTCCTATTTTCTTTTCCCATTTTCATTCTATCCGGATTGCAAGATCAAGGTCCCAGTAACCTTTTTTGTCTTGCTTGTGCATGGGGAAAACTAGCGTTCTCTGGAGCTGAACCCAATACAGAAAGATCTGGTGCTGAAGATTGCGGAGCTATTCTGCAATAAAGACACCAGTGATGGAAGAGCAAAATACTGGGTGGAGAAAGCTGCCAGGCTGCTCCCTGGGAATGCTGCTGCTCTCAGATTGAAGGTAAATTCCAGCTTCTCATCTCTGCTCTGTGCCTTGAAGAAACTTTCCGTATCTGACTGGGTGCTTCTGGCATGTCATCTAGTCATCTCTCACCATATTTCCTTGGCTAAATTAGTTTAGCATTAGGAATCTTAAATCTATTACATGTTAATTTCTTTGCTGTCTGATGTTTTTGTTTAGCTTGCATGAAAATTGCAGCTCTGGGCTTTCCCATGCGTTTGAAGGTTGACGCGTTCAAAAATGTGGGGAAACTGTCAGCAATAATATCCAAGAAGTTGAGTTTAGATAGGCAATATTTGATGTGTCTGTTGTGACTAAGCTGCTTTTTAGTTTTTTGAGTTTAAAAATGCAGAATGTAGGAAGTGCTGTCATTCTCAACTACTGTGTAAATGCTTTCAGTTATGCAGTGTCACTTTGGCACTTAGTTTTATGTAGCACAGCTGCAGGGACACAGAGGTTCTTAGAGGCTTCTGTTGGTTTTCTGTTGTCCTGTTTGGAGCAGCTATTCTGTAACAAGGTGTGCTGTCTCTGTCTCAAACAGCTTGACAGTCTTAACTTAGCATCTACAAGAGGCACACTCTGAAGTTTTTTCCCCTGTTATCTCATTTCTAAGATGTTGGAGTAATTCCAGCAAGTCTGTAGTCTGTGTAGTGGAGGTGAGCAAACTGTCAGGTAATGTGGATGGTTGAAAAGACTGATGCGGAAAAAAAATTATGTTGCCTTCATGTTTAATAGGAGAAGTTACAAGAATATAAAGTTGAAGATGGCTGGAATGAGCTCTTTTATGTGAGTCAAGCTGAACTCCATGCAAGACCTGATGACGTCTACCTTAACATCAGACTTGTTGCACTGTACCGCTCACGCAATAAATTGCAAGATGCTGTGCTCCATGTTCAGGAGGCAGAGAAGAAAATACCTCTGGAGACAAGCTTGGAATGGTGCTCCTGTGTCGTAAAGACACTTGAGGTATTTAATCATCTTTTGATTCTGTCATAATCTTCCATATCCTCAAAACTGGTCACAGTCTCTCAGTTTTGTTCCAGTGACAGCTCTTGCTCGAGTGATTTAACTCCTCGAAATGAAAGTCTGTTGAAGCCAGTTGTTTAACAGGGATTTTCTTCCTAAAGTTAAACCTTGTTTATTTTCTGACTTCAAGTCTAAGCTAGATATAGCAGTTCCCTCAGGGAGAGAACTGAGTTCAAAGAGTTCGTGGAACTCTACTGCTGAAGGATACGTTAATGCCTCACCTGTGAAAGTGGTTTAGGTAGCAGTGTGTGGGGAAGTCTCAGGACTCTCAGGATGCGCTAGAGACATAACAGCACACCAATGTGGTTAAAAGCTATCAGTCTGCTTTATTATTAAGCACTACCCTATTTATACATGTTAACAGAGCATTCTGCAACAACATTCTTTAACCGTTCACACAGGTGCTTAGCCAGTCAGAGCCGTAAGATGTTCTTTCTTCTTTGAAGGTGTCCTTGGTTCTCATGCCGCTTATCTTGCTCCGCAGCTGCTGCTCTGTGCAGCCCCCCCGACTCCAGAGCTGCTGCTCTGAACAGTTTTTCCTTACGTTCCCACAGCACTGTGTCCTGGAGAAGTAATGTCCTTGTCTTCACAGAAAGATGGTGGTTCCTCATCCTCTGATGAACTTTATTCTTTAGGAATACCTTGAATCAGCCCAGAACTTGGAATCTAATACAAGGAATTGGAGAGCTATCAAAAGCGGTCATCTATTGGCTCATTCTAGCTTTATTAAAATGAAATTTGCTTCGGGAGATGTCCGTCAGTGCAGAGAGGCACTTGAAAGGTATTGTTTTATCTTTACTGCATTTAAAAGCCAAACAAACAGAAGCAATCCAGAGCGGAATATGTTCTTCTGAGTCACAGAACATCTAGCAGGCATCAGTTTCCCTGAGTAACCAGTTTGTGGACAGGAGAGGAGTTTCTCTGTACTAACCACAAAGAAAGGTTCTTAGTAGGCTTGAAGCCCAAGCTATGTATTTGTCCAAGCTACAAGCCTTGGAGAAGACTTGGTGATATCCTGGGTCAGTTGCCATCTGTCTCGTCTGTAAGAGAACGTTGTTCTATACTTCAGCATCTAATTCAGATATCACAGACATTTGTGGACCAGTTTTGTCCTGGTCAACTTAACACAACCCGCATATGATATGATATGATATGATATGATATGATATGATATGATATGATAAGATATGATATGATATGATGAAGAATTGTAGATATAAATGGGAAGCAGAAGGCCACCCCCAGTAAGAGCATTCTTCTTCAGGGAAAACTGGTCAGGCCAGCTAAGCCAAATGACTTCAAGGTATATCACCTGCGGCACGGCTGGAGTAGTGCAAAACAATGTTTGTAGACAATTTCTTGGTGAAATTCTGTGTTCCATTCTTCCCATTATGTTTTCTTTCATACTGACTTCTACTGACTTCCGTTGATTTCACTTCCATAAGTGAAGGTCAGTGCTTTGGGAACTTGAGGCTGTTGTCCTGCTTTCTTGTGCAACTCAGGTTTAGACAACTGAGGTGGTAGTAGCAGTTGAGTCACCGAGTTGCTTGGTCCACAGTTAAATAACACTGACCCAAAGCATGCGATGGCTTTTACCAGGACTTTGTTGAAAATGAGTCTTTTCTGCCTTCTAGCTTTGATCGTCTCCTTCACTCTGTGAAACAGTATGTGAGAGAAGCTGAGGAGCTGTCTCACACCGTCTTGGAAATGAAAGGACAGCTATACATGCATGCTGGGACGTTTCTGCTCAAACTGGCCCAGAACAGTGAGGTGCAGTGGAGCGATGCGTGTCAACTGGCAGCACTGTGTTATTTGAAAAGTTTCAACGTAAGTCACTTTTCACTTTCTGCCTGTAGTTAATGCAGTTCTTGACCACTCTTGCTGTACGTGTGTGGAATGCCTGTATTCCCAAGATTAATCAGTGTTTGTAAAGGCTCCCTCCTCACTAAGTCTTACTCTTCCGCATGCCTCTAACAGATTTCAAATGATGTGGAGGAAATATGTATATACTCAGCTGTTTCTCTTGTCAGAAGTAGAACGACTCTTAAAGGCTGATGGGTGCATTTCCTACAGTCTGTTCCCTTTTCTGTGTGAAAAACACACCATTAAGCTTATTGGCATGGAAGAGAGAGGAGCAAACTGAGTAGCTCCCACATTCTTGCTGCACAGACAGCAGAGCTTAAACAGGCTTAATTCTTTGCCTTATGAAATAAATTAATTTTCCACTCTTCGCTACTGCTGGTGCTCAGAACATTACTTTCTCATGTGTGTGCTTACAGCTATTGGCAGTAGTTAAAATTACTCAGTTTGCGTTTTCTTCACTGATATGTTGCAGAGTACCTTCAGAATGAGTGTATTTTTCTAAAGTTTTCTTGTGCTAGAAATAAGAATACGTTCCCTAATGTTCAGGACTAAATTAAGCGATCTGCATTTTGTTGTGAAGAAGCTGTGACAAATTCTCTCCTTTCTTCTCCAGGTTCCTAAACCAAAGTCAAAACTAACAAAAGGGGATCCTGCTGGTCTAGACAAGCTGGAAATGTTGGCTTGTGATCGCAAAAGCCAGTCTGGTAATATGAATTAATCCTTAAGAAAGTTCCATAGATCTCTTTTAATCTTATGAATAGTTACTTGAAGAGTTAAGCGGCTCGATTCCCAACCCTAAGGAGCAAGAGCAGCCCACTGTTGGGGTCAGTGCTTTTATGTGAAATCCCATGCTTGT